TCTGTCCCAGCAGAGGTGATGACACCCGAACTGGCAGAAGCACAGAAGTAATCATACCCGACCTGACGGAAGCCTAGGAGTGAGTGCGCAAAGTGGTTATAAAAGGCTCTCTACCCCCCAAGAACAAGGTATATGAACTTTGCACCATCTAGTTTTATCTTGCCTTTGAGAGAATACTAACTTGAGCTTCGGAGCAATCTCACCGAGTTCCTCCCCAGAGACTCCCCACTTTCTTCTCCGTTTCAGGCCCCCTGTTGCTCCAGTCAGAGGCAAGGTCGTTGACAGCTAGGACCGGCCGGATTGCGCACCATCACTTACCAATTCCCCCAAATATCATTAAAGGAGAAATGGTGAAATAACTCCAAAGTCTTTAACCAGTGTATTACCCTAGTCAGCACACAACTCCTTTAAAGCTTAACAGCTTCTCTCCTATTATTGGAAAATTCTAGCATTCATTTCTTCCCAAATTGTCCAAATCAAAACTGCCTTGGCACATCTCCACATAATCCTTCCTCTTTTCTTAGGAAGGAAGAAGAAAGAAGGGTTAAAGGGCAATGCTTAATTCTGCTGGCATATTCCACCTGCACCCAAACAATGAGAAGAGACAAACCCATAACTCCATCGTAAAAGAGCAGGAAATTAGTAAGTGGTAGCAATCCTCACCATGAGACCTACGAAGGATACATCAATTAGGTGAAATACAAAGGGAAGGTCTTCTCTTTTGTAAGTTATCCTAGGTGTTTATTTTCCCATAAAATGCTTCCTAACAAAAAGCTATAATCTTAGGAGAAATAGCTTGCACCAAACTTCCTTAGAAGGGAAACCCTAAAGGTGAGAAGATTGGCAAAGGAACTTAAAGAAAGAAGCACAAGAGAAAATCCATTTAGGCTGAGGAGCCCAAACCTATTTATCTAGCTCAAAGGGGTCCAAACAAACCTTACTAAGGAGGCCAAACAAGTTAGGTAATCAATCAATTTCTTTATCCCTTAATCCTCTACAGAATCCAAAGTCCCAGTTTGGTGCCACAGGGGTTGCCAAAGGGGAGAAATTTTGAGACAACCTCTTTTTCATACAAGGAGACAGAGAATATGGAAGGAAAGAATTCTTTTAAGAGTTTCACATGATTGAATTCTTGAGTGCTTGAAGGACTTTAGTACAAACCACATGTGTTTGCTTTCATTTCTACAATGTAACTTTGAATTTGTTATGTTCATGTATTTTAATTTGAGCTAATTGGTTTTCTAAGCCCATGTTTGGGGGGTGCTTATTTGATAAATAAGTGCTTGCTAGATAGGTGATTATCCTAATAGGTGCGCATGGGTATTTAGTGAAAAAGCATTTATTTCAAACAGGGGTAGTATAGGTATTTTTAAAATGATGTGGCGGGCCAAGACAGACCATAAAGGAAATAAGCTCTTAAAGATAATCTCAAAATAAGGAAATAAGCACTTACTGAATATGTGCTTAAAAATAAGCTCCAAATTTGAGCTTCTTGGATAGGTGCTTATTTTCAGGAATAAGCACTTATTTGGGCTTATTCCCAAACACAAGTAAGTGCTTATTCGTGTGGTCCCAGCCCAAAATAAGTGTTTCTTTGAATAAACACTCCCAAAATTAGTCAAACAGTTAGTTTCTTTTAAATTTCAATTTTACATTTTTATGTATTATTGTTTTTCTCTTTTTCTTTTTTTTCTTTTTTCCAAAATTTGCTCCATGCTTTGAAATTGTGTGCACCTCACCTTGTGCCTTGGGCATTAAAAGGCCTTGCACTTTTATGATGCATCGTGCTTTTAAAACAACATCAAGCAGAGAGGAACTTGCAAGAAAAGCATTTCGATAGTTGGAGAACAGAAAGGGGTGATGATATTGACAAAATTGGCATTGGAGCTGAAGTGGAGATGGAAGAGGAATTACTTGAAAATGGTGGGTTGATAGGTCGGTAGATTCTTTAGATAGGATCTCCTGGGGTGGGGGTTGGGCTGATCGTTTGGATTTTACGGGTTGCCAATCTTTATATTAGTGTGTTGAGGCGAGTTTTGGTCTTGGGGGCGGTCGTTTTAGACTTTGATGAGGGTTGATTTTGGTTTTGTCCTTGGCTGCTCTTTCTTTAAAGCGATGTCTTATCACCTTTTCTGTATCAAGGTCCCCTATGATCCAAGATTTGATATGTTTGACGCTACTGGGCCTGAAATAGCATAATGGAAAAACTGTAACAGAAGACTTGTTCTAGCGACAACTTCAATAAAGACATTTTGTTAGACTGTAAATTGATAAAAACCAAATCAATTTCTTAAAGTGAACCGGAGTAAACTTTTAATTAAGTAGATTTCAACAGACAAAATGAGATCATCAATGATCTGGATTTTTTATAGTAATCACATAACAAAGCAAAGGTCCTTTTAGGATTTCCATTACTTCTTAGCACAAGAAAGTCAAATCAATCATGACTATCTAAGATGGAATCAATTATGAGGATAACAACAATGGAGGGACCCAACCACTCTTTGTTTTACAAGTACGAACTCGGAACCTTGTAAGTGCGCATGATTTCAAGCTAAAATTCGAAAAGGTCCGAAATAAGAACAACAAATAAAATGAATTAAGCTGATCTCCGCCCATAAGAAGCAAACTGCAACGAAACCCAGTAATTGGGAAAACAGACGCTTTGAAAGGAACTTACAAGAGATGGATGGCGAACAAGCGACTTTTTGCAAGCCGATGCGACACGGTTACTGCTAAGACACTGACGATAAGCTCCAGCAAGAGGATTTGGAGGCCGACTCTCGCTAGAGCTGCCATTTTGCTCCCCGCCCTTACTTCCCTCCATTACTATCGACCATTTGCACTCTTCGCTACGAACCGCCAACTGTTAATTGAAATCAAGGAAATGAGCTCGAACTGCTCTACGAATTTTGTTGTTCTAGGGTTTTTAAGCACGATTTTAGCGAAATTCTTCTAGGGTTCGGAGCTTGTAACGCTGCATTGTAAGTGTGGGCAATAATTTGCGGACGACACGTTTTAGGGTTTTGCGGAGACAAGTCGAAGACGAGTCCTCTGTTTCTCCGTCGATTTCAGGCAGGCACAGAGAGAACGAGAGAGAGGGTGAGAGATGTACTCACGTACGTTTGTGGTTCCCACCTGGATTCGGTCTTCATTTTCTGCACTGTTCTTGCACAGTCGATCTTAGAGGTAGGTTAGTGCACCATACTGTTGTTGACTCTTTTGCACCGTTGGATTGCCATCCTTGAGATCCGATGCAAAACCACCTACAAAGCGCGCCAAATAAAGGGTTAAGCCTTGGTGCACCGTTGGTGTGTCCTTTTCTTCCCAATTTAAAACTGAGCGGCCGTTTGATAACTGTGAAGTAGTAGCTAGTAGCTACCGTTTGATATCGGCCTATTCAAGTGGTGATTAAAAGAGTTCTATCAGCCTTTTCGGAATATTATGAAACCAATTTGAATACTAACGGGGTGGATTCCTATAACTTGTGTAAATATGTTGTGTGGCAAATTCCAAAAATTGATACTATGAAGCCCACAACTTAGCAATGAATTTCCCAAATTATTCCATCATCATTAAAGGCAACTCCTTTATCCTGATTTCTTGTCTGAAATGACTCATCGACCCCCCCTTAAAACTTTCAAAACATCAACCGTGATGGAATGGTTTAGATTTGAAGAATCGAGCAAACTAAGACTTGGTTTATAATTATGTCTATCAGGAAGTTAATCAAGCGGCAGACTGGCTCGCCAATCAAGCCTTTTCATCCCTACAGGGTAGGGTAAATCTCAATCTTAGTGATATTCCTTGGAATCTAGCTTGTATTTATAAGTTTGATTTATGGGGACGCGTTACCCCTTGTCTTGTGTAACCCCTCTTGATTTCTATCAAAAAATATAGTAGCTACTGAATGTATTTTTGCTTTGGCTCCGTTTCTGAAGGGTGCAAATTTAGGTAAAATACAAAGTTGTTCTAATTTTGCATTGATAAGTTTTGTTTTCTTACGGTCTTACTAAGTGGTCTTTGGTTGGTACGATACAAATATGAACCAGAATATTGAAATTCATCTTCATTTACATCAGTCAACTTTTTATTGATACATTTTTACATCAGTCAACTTTGAGTATAAAATTGGTATCTTTTTTTTTACATCGATCAACTTTGAATGCAAAGTTTGCATCTATTCTTTTTATTACAAACTTTGCTCTCATTTTTAATAAACGTATCTTGAAAATTATGATGGCTGTCATCTTCAATACATAAACGTATTTTTATTAAATGCATGCAAAATTGAACTATTTCGTCTATAAGTATGTATGGAACTGTCATTCGCATTCTTCCCAAACAGAACCTGGATTAATGCAATGTTTTCAAAACAGGACCGGACTGGACAGTCAGACCAAAAAACTGGGAAGTGGTCACCTGACTGGTTCCGTTTAACTTTAAAACCATTTTTTAGCCCAAAACCATTGATTTGGTCAATAAATCACTGACCCAACCAGTCGAACCATTTGACCCAAAAACGGTTTTCTGTACATTTGTTGAATTTTTTAAACTTTCTATCCGTTTGGACCGTCCAACCCGAGAACCGAACCCAGAACAGTTCCCCATCTGATCCAATTTTAAAACCCTTGGATTAATGTAATAACATATCTTGTGCACGAGTACAAGATAAAATGGTATAAACAAGAAAATAAATGAAACTCAAAGCAAAAAACAAACACTCATATGTGAGGGCATAGGAATCATTAAGAAGCTCATATCCTCTTTAACAATTTTATTTTATGTGAAGACAAACCAATAGGTCATTCAGTTCAGTCGCTTCTGGTATCAAATTAAGTGTTTGAACTTCCGACTTATTGTGTGTGCATGTGAATGCATGGGTGGAGCCAGTAAATTTTCATGAGGGGGGCCAAAGTTTAAAGTGGATTAGGGAGAGAGAGCGAATGAATATAAATGGTTTCAAAGAAAGGCCAATCATGAGTTCACATCTGCACACCACAATGGTCCCACAAAACATTTCCATCGTGTATTAAGAATATCTCCCGATGATAATACTAAAACTGATAATGTTATTATTGAGAGATGTTCTCAATACACGATGGGGATGTGCTATGAAGCATTGCGGGGCGCCCCTTGTGGGGTACAGATCTAAATTCACCAACCATTGGGTTGGAGAGTGGGAGAAGAGGGAGAAGAGGGAATTTACATAAACAATTGTACTAATAGGTGGTGGGTTTTTGGACCATGGGGGGCCATGGTGGTCCCCCCTAGCTCCGCCCCTGTGTGTATGCGTAACTAAATGGGTGGTTATGTTTGGTTTATATGTGAAATGAGCCTTGTTTGGCCTCCTTGAATTGCAAATTTTGTGATATGTTAAATGTTTGGCATTTTATAGTCTATTAATTTTTTTTATATCTAATCGTTTATCCATGCCTACCTATATATATATATATATATATATATTTATATATCCAGTATAAATTTTGAATTTTATGAATAATTGTCTTTACTTTCTTTGTTAAAACGTTTTTATGCGACTTTGCTACAACTTTTTTTGGTTGTTTTTTTTCTTTTTTGAAGCCAACTTTTCTACAATACATTTTTGTTTTGCATTCTCTAGGTACCCAAAAAAATAAAACATACCATTGAGACTAAGTAGTTTCTATTTAATATTTTGTGATATTAAATAGGCTCCTATTCATTCGAACCAAACGGACCGTTAGTTGTTGATGATGATGAAATGCTAAATTGAAACCATTATGCATTTCTTAAAAATGTCATAATATTATCTTTGATGAGGGCAGATTTGGCCCTCTAGTGAAATTGCGACACGTGGCACCTCGTGACAACTAGGCGACACCCAGGCAACAACTTATCAAGTCGGTGTCCCGCTGGGGCACCGACCTAGATCAACACGGCACATGATCCGACCTGGCCGACTTGGATCAGTCCGGCACATGATCCGACTTGGCCGACCTTGATCAGCCCAACACATGATCCGACCTGGCCGACCTGGCAACCCATAAGACGCCCACCGGAACCAAACGGCATACCCCGCGAACTCGGTAGCTCACCAAGGAGCTCGCTAAGGAGCTCAGTAGCTCACCAAAGAGCGCCAAGGAGCTAGGCAGCTCTCCAAGGAGCTCGCCACCAAGGTGCCAAGCAGCTTGGCAAAGCTCGCCACAAGAAGCTCGGCATAGCCCAAGGAGCTCGGCATAGCTCCCCCGAGTAGCTCGCCACTTGTAGGGTAGCTCGATACAGAAGAGTAGTTTGACGTATCACAGGAAGATCTCCTGCCTGACAACCTAGCCCAGACACCGACCCGCCGACTGACACAGGCGTCGACCTGACAACCTGGCCCAGACACCGACTAACACAGGTGCCGACCTGACAACCTGGCCCAGGCGCCGACCTGGCCGCCTGACACAAGCGCCAGCCTGACAACCTCGAGGAGTTCACCACCGTACCC